ACGTCCCCGACATGGAGACTGTAGCTTTGGGACATGTTTTCTGTGATAAGTACACCACCCGGGTTCTGCTGCATGGAGGCCTACAGCCACTTCTCACCTACCGCGAGTGGCGCTGCTGGACTCTTGGGTCTCCTGCGTCCTTCTTGTCTGACTACAACAAGACTTCCGGAGTAAAATGCATACAATCACAGAGAGAACTACCCGTTTGAGATATAACCACAGCAGCAGTCGACGGGTGTGTGTTGTGAAGGCATTTATGATAGGTTACGGGGACCGGGGCGGGTAGGACTGCAGCGGTGTATTCTGCGGGGTCCCTTCAGCAGCTGGTAAACAGACCACCGAGTCCATATAGTTAATGGTTGAAAAAATAACGAGGGCGGAGGAGGGGGGGGAGGTGGGGCATGGCTGCTGCCCCTCCAGCCGTTGGTAAACAGACGAAACCGAGTCCAAACCAAGAACATGTCAATGGTTGAAACAATCCCCGAGCGCGGAGGAAGGGGAGGGAGGGCATAGCTGCTGCGCTACTATCACAGTGTGGGGGAGGGGCATGGCTGTTGCGGCACTATGACAGCAGTGGTCGCGGCGGGGGTCATGCTCACATTCCGCGTCTCCCCCCTGTCCCGCCTCCTCCAGCTCCTCTTCCTCCTCAGCGGCGTCCTCGTCCTCTTCCGCTTCGCCTGAAGCCTCCTCCTCTTCCTCTTCCTCTTCCTCTTCTTCTTCCTCCTCCTCTTCTTCTAGCCCATCCATATCAATGCTGCATCACAAATTTTGTTCAACGAAAGAATGTAAGAAAAGCGTGAACACCGATCGTTAGACCGCAATTGACAATCTTGCGGCCAAGCTTTGCTCGAAGTCGTCTTGCAGCAGAGCGATGCACAGAACAGTTGTAGCTAATTGTTTTCAACAGGTGTGGCTATTGCTTTTTCAACCAAAATACAGCAGCCGAAACGTCAAATAATACCATGCAAACGTGTAAAAGGCGAGGAAGTACATGTTTCCTGCATGATTTATCATAGAAACGTCGCGCTATGGGTCATTTACTTTGTTGTGTGCTGGTTGCTTTCGCCACGGAATGACTTTTCGCTCTCGAAGTAAAGGTTCTGCCTAGGGGTTGCTGGCTCCTGGAGAGGGGATTGGACTTGATCGCTGGCCTCGGTTGAGCTAGTTATATTGTGATTCTGGAACTGGTACAACCCTATACACAAACCTAGCATTGCAAGGACGGCCCGTGTAACCCAACCGCCCCCGCCGCACTCAAAAACGGGAGTAAAACTTGCGTTACCGTCGATACATCGGTGGATCGATTGTCAAAGCTCGACTACAGCAGTAGTCCACGATGAAGAGGCACAAATGCAACGACACGTTTTCGGAAAGCTCTCAACGAGACGGCTGCCGTTTTCGGCGCTGCCGCTCTTTCTGCTGTGGAGAAATCGAGCCTTGAAGATCGGTCCAGGGGGTGTGATATCTTGCGTCATGTCACCCACGGTAGTATCTTGGCTGGCAGCAAATCCAACAGAGTCCTCCGCGGCGAATCTGTCTAGGACAGGATGGTGTGAAGACAGTGTTCTTTGATGACGTTCGTCGTAAACATTTTTGACACTCGTTTGAGTTTGACGTGAAACCCCTTCTCACATCCCCAGAGCGTGGATTGAGGTTGCCCTGGTCGCCCAAAAAGTTAGACAAGGATAAAACACGCTCAGGCTTCGTACAAAAGGGGCGAGAGGATAAACCATCGTAGGTTGAACTTTGCTTACTCCTGTCAGGAGTACGTTCGAATCGACTCAGCTTCTGAGTGTAGCGATGGGCTGGCTCTTACCATTAATACCCTCAAATTGTCGGAGCATTTCTTTGCCGTATCCTGCTTTATCTCGTCATTATACTCCAAGTTCTTACGATTGTCGCCTCGACAGCAGTGTGGTTGATATTAGTCTCGGCAAGTGTTTAATCTTTCATGCTGGTGTCTTGTATACGGCTGGGTACTTGGACTATGTAGCTTGTCTGCACGGAGCGTCCTTCGCTGAAGGTTGGATGTTGGCGAAGCACAAGAGGTTGAACACTTGCACCCGACCAACACCAGAACCTATATCTTCTCTATTGGTTTTCCCCACAGATTAATGGTAAGTAGCGAGGGTTGCGCAACACAAGGGGCACTTGGGTGAGGGTTGCTTAGGGTTGCTTCTGAGTCGTTTTCTTGCCTTCCAAGGGACGCGGGAGCGGAAGCACTAGGCGCAGTCGGGCTTTCTTGAAGGTCAAGGAGCCAACAAAAGCAGGACTGCAAGTGGTGTCACAAAAGTAGGTATCCCTCCTCACTCAAACCAAAGCATTGCTACTCCGTGCCCCCCCCCCCCCCCCCAAAAG